TCCGGCTTGGCTTCTACGCCCCCGTATTTAATCTTTAAGAATCGACAAAGCCCTCCCCCCCTCCCCGCGGAAAGAAGTTCTGAGTTGTTCGTTAGTTTGATTATTGTGTGTGGCACTTACCTAGCATTGACTTTCCGCATCCATCACACTCTTATTTTAAGGTAAGTTAGGAATGATTTGAGGTGATAATGGATACAGTGGGAAACCATCGACGTGGGCTAAATCCGCAAGAAGTAGACCTCGGTCATTCATGTGGCATATCAGTGTGATTTGCTGTGCAGCTGCACTAAGTAAAAGCCCTCGGTCCGGAGGACTTACCTATCGCTTTGGCGGCCTCCTCTAAGCCTAGACTTCCAATGCAGCATGGTAGTTCATCTGCACGTTTGATTTATTGTAATGCGAAGGCTGCGTGCATGATAATCTTCCATCTATCCTTTCTTTGAGTACAACATTTAGAGAAGGCGTAATTTGCTATCAAACAATTACAAGAAATAATTTTTTCGTGCATGTTTTCCATAAATATATTTGAGTTTATAAAGGCTGTCAAAATAAATGATAAAGGGCATACTACCTAAGTAGCCAGTTTTTACAATAGATACGTTTTGCTAGTTGTCAGAACGAAGCTGGTTAAAAAGCCCGCATCCTATCATGACTGAAATGACTTCAGAATAGACTGCACGATAATCAGTCTCACAACTTGAGTCAATTCCGATTAGCGAAAGAGTATCAATCTTTCGCATATGTCGACTTGTTGTGTGATCTTCGTCGAATACTGTAGCTTCTGGTGGAAGCTGTTCCTTTTCCATAGGCTGTGGTCTCACTGGCAAGCCATCGGCTTGGTGACGTCAGATCCTGTTTTATCTGAATTCTTCTCCCTACCAAATATTTCATTTTTTGCGTGTATATTTACTCTACACTCCATAAATCTAACTAATAGTGAGGCAATAACCGAGTTCCCTACTGGGTGCGCGATCGGACGACCTTAATGCGTGAACCATCTTCGAATCCGCCTTCTGTTCGTTGGCTTTTTGCCCGAAGTGTGTAGACATTCCCTAAGTGGCTGCTGCACAAGTCCCCTTCTCCTTTTTGTCGAGCAACATCTGCCAAGGTTTTGTTTAATGACATCGTATTCTTTGTCGCCAAGTATCTAAATCCATTCCCCTTACTTGTACTTGTTACGGCTGTGATCATGCCTGATCTAGCCGGCCTCAA